GCAGTTGAGTGCAGTGGTTACGTTGGGCTACGTAGTTGTCCTAAGTTTCTGGTGCTGGAGCTTCTCTGTACACTCGCCATGCTGCGTTGCGTACCGTCATCCATTTTCGAGTTCTGCTACTAACGAAAGAAACTGATTTGCACCTATTGAAAGCTTTTATCTCTGAAGCCTGTGCAATCAGCTGACTGAATGTGTTGACGAACTCGAGCCAGGCGACTTCCGAGGGTTCTTCTTCGAGGAAAGACCATGTCGTGGCGCTGACTAGCTGGGCGAGTCGGTCGTAACTTGTGATTGTTCGCACAGTATCATCGTTATCATTCAGATATTCTGCATAGCAGATGAAGTTGAAACTGATGAATGCGTGATCACTGCGACCCAACGGGCGGTCTAAAACCAACGCATCGATCGTATGCTCCTTGTTGGTAAGCACAAGATCCAGCACAGATGGCCTGTTACCAGTTCTGAACCGAGTGGGCAAAGTGATGTGGTTGTAAAGAGGAACAGTAGTTACGAAATCTTGTAGATCGGTTTTGAATTGTTCCCCGATCTTGGCAGGGACTTCTAAACAATGTACGTTGAAATCACCCATGATAAGAATGTGAGTGTACTTTTGTTGTAAACTGCACCTTAAAGCAGCCGCTAGGTGGTAGTCGGTTTCGGGTGTTGAGTTAGGGGCGCGGTACACCAAAACAATAAGGCAAGCGTCCCTGCCTTTTAACTGCAACCAGCACCAAAGAGAGTCAGGGAACTGCGAGTCTGAATCCTCCACGGCTTCGCACTGTAAGTCGTTTCGGTAGTATAGGATTACCCCCCCCTTCTTTTTGTGAGCCTGTCATTTCTGGATCAGCGACATGCCAGGTGGCGACACTTCAGCGTCCGTCATTCCCATGTGCAACCATGCCTCGGTGACACCAATGACATCATACGAGCCGGAAGCCTGGCGATCTTTCAGTTCAGCCAGTTTGTTAGAAAGACCCTGAGCATTTGTATACAAGAAGGCCAGTTTCTCGGTCTCTAGGAGCCCGCAGAGAGGTGAAGCTGTCAAGTGTGGGAGAATGCCGACCGATGGGAGGTCGGCATTTACTCGTCTTTTTGATGGGTCAATGATACCTCGTTTGCAACTTGATTCGGCCAAGGTGTGTCCCAGCCTTCGTTTAGACCTACGTCAGAGTCAATTAAAGCAGTAGTCAAGTTACGCTTTTGTACATTCGTCAGTATGCTTGCTGCTTCAGTTGCTTTAATATTTGAGCTGTGCAAAGTGTTTGCGACCTTTAACCGAATTTCGGAAGGAAGATGTTTCCGATTTCTCCGCCATCTATCCAAAACATCCTTTGCTTGTTGCTCTGACTGAACCACAAGTTTTAGGATTTTAGGGCCGCATCCTCTATAATTCGGTGAGTGAGGTATCCTGGTGAGCGATAGTGTCACAACATTATTCAAAGAAAGTGTTTCACGAATGAACCGCCACTATTCTAAACTGTGCTTTCCGGTCTCTTGAACATCGTTAGAAGTATGTTCTTGCACACCATGTATGAAGATTGTGTTTAGGCGGTCTTGATTGCTGTGCCCCTCTTCGGTGTGTCGTTTTGGTTGTCGCGCGCTCCAAGGGACATCAGGATAGATACGTATCCCAAAGGATTTGTGTTTTAGCACGCTTGCGGAGAGCAAAACGCTTTCTACGTCTGTGAAAGATTCTAGTTACTCTAATAAGTTTAGGTTCACCATAGGGTGGCGAGTTCGGATGACGAGTAATTAGTAACAAGTTTATGGGCTTGGCTTTGTTACTCATCTACATACACAATGAGTTCCATTGGTCTTGGTCGTCTGATAACTTATCCCGCAATGTGATGGCGGTAGATTCAGGGACATTTGAGCATACAACAGTCCGGGCACTGTTGTTGGATCCCTTTTTCATCGATCTACAAGGTATGGTACTCATTTGTCCTGACTTGTTGACAAGTGATTGTTGGCTGTTTTTCTCTCCACTTGCGTTAACGTTGTTTACAATGGAAGAGGACGCAACGGCGGCCTCTCGGTGGACTCTTACAGCAATCTCTGCATATGTAACCGATGTTCTGGGAGGCTTAGTCTCGACAAGAGATATTTGAGCTACAAATACCAAGGGTTGGTATTTGGCTGCTTCATTCTTGTTAATGCTAGATGTCAGGTCTAGAGGAATTTGCTTAACCAGACGTTTTGAAGAGTGACTGATTTTCGTTGCCGTGTGTACTGTTTGATTCACGTAGATGCAGTATGTTTTCGCTCGGTGTTCTACCAAAGTTGGAGAAGACAACGGAGATGGGGACGTGGCTGATTGCGGTGCAGGGGAAGCGGATTGTTCAGCATTCCGTTGCTTAGCAGCCGCTACGCTTCTGTGGTCCATACTCGCTTCCATGGAAGTAATCTTATTGTTTATCTTCTGCTCTGCTTCTGTGGTTAAACGGTCGCATTTCTCAGCTAGGATAAGCAAGCACTTAACGAGGGGGATGGCGGAACACGCAGTACAGAACCAAAATGCATCTTGGGAGCTATTTGGCTCCCGTGACTGTTGTTGGGACACATTTGCACATTTCGTATGGTACCATACCAAACAGTGCGAACGAGCCAGACCGATTTGTACTACTCGATGTCATTCTCCTAACCCGCAAATGGCTTTCGATGGGAATCTCTTCGGTTTCGCCTTTCTGCCATTCAATTTGGTGTCGTTACCTAACCTAGTGGGTTGGTTAGCGTTCTGTACTTTTACAGCTTTGAGAGCAGCGCACATCGGTCAGGCGAGCGTGGTGGTTGCAAGGTCAAATGAGCGGTCGGCGTGGTCGCGGTCCGTGTGATGGGTTATGCAGCCGCACTGGCTGACAAGGTCACAAGGAATGGCGAGTGACTGGAACCTGAACAGAGCGTTGAACACAGATTGACAGATCACAGATCACAGATTTTTTCACAGCTGTGTTGAGAAACACTGGATCGGCATAAGCTTAGGCTTTTCGGTCTGCCTCGAGAATTCTGTATCGAATGGTGTCACACAAAAAGGCAACCGGCGCAATATGATTGAATTAAACGCTTGCGCTTAATCACAGATGTCAGTGAAAACGGTTAGTGATGGCACAGCCTCTAATCGTAGAAAATATTTCTACGTATGATGGATCACTGTGTAGAGCTGGTAAAGCCGGTTCGAATGAGCGTACAATGACAACGCTGCGAGAAGATGGAGAGAGGATAGAGGGGAATAATCCAAATGGACCAGGAGCACGCACGTCACGCGTGTGTGAGGATGACTTTGTTCAATACAGTCGCTTGGAGTGTCGCAGAAATTTCTTTTCCATTCGTGTCTGTCACCCGTGGAATGCTCTCTCAGAATCGGTCGTCTCTGCACCAACATTAACAGTATTTGAAAGACGGTTGGACGATGCACTCATCCACTTACACTTTGTTACTTAACACTACGTCCCCATCCTACACCTGGAGTTTACCATGGAATTAGTTGTTGTTAACTGTGGATGCTGTGAATCTAAGAGGATCGCAGGACTACAGCGAAGCAATCGATAAGTCCTTATTTTCAAATTTAAAGTATTGACTATTTTACTGTCATTATTCGCATTATTGTCATGTTGATATCCCCACCAACTATCCAACGGGACTTGTAAAGCAACGCTTCTTAACCCGTATAAATTCATTGTTCATCTCACGAGACTGATTATTTCCATTTCCTTACTCGTCGCTAATGAGCTCCATATCGAGTGGGCCATCAACACAACGAATGACCACGTAGCACCACAGAATTGCTTTGAGAGGATAGATGAATTGGCGACTCGGAATCTGCTACATTTCAACGTCACCAAGTGTAAGACATTAAGCATGCGCCATCAACCCATCTGCGAGTACAGGCTGGGGGAGCGAGCTTTGCAGCGTATTAATATTGAATGCGATCTAGGTGTGATAGAACAACGGGATCTTGGGTTTTCACATCAGACCGAGAGGGTGTCTAAGAAAGCCAACCAATGCCTTGGCCTTTTGCGGAGTGCGTTCGGGCGTTTTGACCCTTCAATATTCTCTCAGATGCTCAATGTTTATATTAAGCCCAATTAAGAATACGCCATTTACGCCTGGCAACCTTGGCACAAGCATCGCCTTACAGCACTTAAACTATAACAATGAATGGCGACCAAGAATGTAAAATGACCATTTAATCTCCCTTCACAATAAAGGTTGAAAACTCTTGGAGTCAATAGTGGACAATATCGAGGCCTGCGTGGCGATTTGCTAATTACATATTTGATCCTAAGAAATTCAAACCACGCTTGTAGTCACCTTCTGAAGCTAAACCACAATACCACTCTGAGAGGTCACCAGATAATGCCAATCACACAGTATAGCCGTTTGGGTTGTCGCTGGAATTTCTTTTCACTTCGCGTGTGCCAACCGTGGAACGCCCTCACCACTTACGTTGTTTCTTCCCCCACAATGACGATATTCAAAAATGTCTAGCAGACGCACTGATACATTTAGAGTATGCCGTATAATCCGATATACCCGGGCATCATCCTTGCACTACAAATAAAGGTGCGCATTCTCACCTTCAGCACATAACTTAATAAACACGGTTACTAGGTTTACGTATCGCATTGACCCAAGAAAACAGGCACGTGAGTAAGCGAAGTCAGTTCCCTCATTTATATTTTTCTCCCGTTATTAAGATGAACTACGACCGCTCCACATATTGCTTTGTTTGCACACATTCCTTTCTCATTTCGAACTACCGTTATACAGCAATGCAGTCAATTCTGTAGTCGCTTAAATCGTCGATTCACTTAGCTCTTGGTCTATTTTCCCCACTCCAACCACCCTATGGGACTTGTTAAATACCTGCTTTTATGCCCATGATGAATCATTGCCCATTGTTCACTTGCACGTCGGGAGTTTCACTACGACGTTTTCAATCGGCGTTATTGTACAGACATACCGAACTACCACATCTCTCACAGCTGGACGGAGACAACTGCGAAGAACTGATGCTTCTCATTATATTTATACGTGAGAGAATATATCCTCCTTCGATCACCACATCAGCCAAATTGAAAAATCTAGTAAGTAAAATGAAAACAAATGTTTAGTCGCACACGCGCCAAAATCAGCCTCGCTTCGTGAACTCACATCTCCATTGGTAGTACATTGAAATATTTGGGAGGGGAGTGGCTTGGATAAGATCCCTTTACATGAAGGTGGCGATATGGGCGTTGCAAATCACTGAAAGCAGGCAAAAATTATTGGTAAAGGGATGTAAATTACAGATCGGAGACCGAATTCCTGTTTCGATGCTAGGTTGGACAAGTAAATCAAAACGGTCTCAAATGATAATACAGAAGTGTAAAAATGAAAGATAACTACTTAAGCAATAAAATTGAATTCAGAGGCTGACAAGTTGTAAATGCTTCTTCCGTTAAATTATTAATTAGAGATGAGGATACACCAGCTCATTACATAGTGCAAGGACCGATCGTTTCAGAGGTATGCACCTGTGGCCAATTTATGAATGATCTGTGGACACCATGGTTGGCTAAGAAGGACATGTGGAGTATAATGTTCAAGGGAGACTCCAAAATTCGCATGGACAATGTTTACAAGCACCAGGATTGGGCATCAACAGAGAGGCCGATTATTTTAATCCACTATACCTCCTCGACGACCTCCTGCTGTACCGGTGCCTCGTTTTGCAGAGGGAAAAAGAGAGGACCGCGTTCGTCGAGTAGTTTTGTTTCTGCATTGATGAGACTTTGTTATTGTTGTTGGGCCAGTTCTATTGTGTACACCATCGCACTCAACACCGGAATCAGTGAAGCAAACCACATCGTCCTCCTCAATAAGCGTGTTCTGTTCAGAACTGCTGTAGTCGGAAAAATCCTCATCTTGTGCCATGCGCTTGGCGGGAGGTAGCACGACTTGACTAATGCTGGTGGGTGACGTAGTACTTACGCTAGGCCCGATGAAATTATTATTGGACACACATGCGACAGCAGTGGTCAGGGTACTTGTTGTGCTCCACCGTGAGTAGTCGTTGATATTGATTTGATTATTCGTATTCCGTTGTCCAGTGAGCGATGCAGTCACGTATGTGCTGTCATGTGTTGGAGACTCGGAAGCAATCGAATGATTTGCGTTGGAAGTAGCCTCCTGCAGTGTGCTTTGTGAGCTGAACATGCCAAATGGCGGAGCTACAAAATAGAGTAGATAACAGTCAACTTTCTAGTGACAAATAACCAAAGGTGTGCCAAGTCAACGCTTACGTGTATCGTTTTCCAACGCAATTATTGGTCGGTATAAAATTAAAATAACCCCTAGAACTGGAAAAACTGCAATTTTCAGGTGGACTACTCTTACTAATGCACTGATGTTGCCCCTGGCCTGGAGGCGAATGCTATCTCCCTGCTCTCTTGTCACGTGTCAAAGGGAAAATTGTGGTCTGTCTATTCTCGAGCTGCTGGTAGCTATATTAGACTCAAAAAATTCTAGACATCAACTATAGGCGAACGCCGTTGAACAGGGTTGTGGAAGCTTACCAGACCAAAACAGCACTTAGTGCTGCACATTCCAAACTTGTTGGTAGTACAACTGGTCTACTGGGTAAAAGTCGCTTTTTCTGACGACAAAACCAACGTTCACGCAACAGGAGTTCGGTATCGTTGCAGTAGAGATGGAATCCCTTCAGATGATTCAACACAGTCACTAGCTACGAAGTACTCCTTTCTGTAGAAACTCGTAACTAGAGAACCGCCGTCCTCAATTGGAATTTGAAGCAATGTACCTAGTCTATTAACATGCTATTCAATACTATGCTAGCCAGTACTATTAGACTCAGCGAACGATTTCTGTGAAGAAGCTGGTAGAATGGCAAATTACTTCTCAGATTTTGAATTACACTCATTTATAGTTAGTTTAGAAGATATCTTCAAACTAGTAGACACTATTGTTGGCTCTCATCCACTGGTCTTTAAGACGGTGAATGATATGTCTATCGGCATTTAGCTTGTCATCAAGTTATGCCTAATTACTGGTATCAAAGTTACACAACTGGGAACCTTTCAGGACCTGTGTTTACACTTTTGCACAATTTAATTGTCTACTTTGAGGAATATTATTTAGTAACCAAGCAACAGGTAGTGGTAAATCGTACCCTGGGTCTGTGAGCTTGACGTTGCCAGTGGCCTGAGATATTTCTTTACCAGATTGCGGTCCTTCAGAGTGCATGCGCACGTCGCACTCGCCGGAAACGTGAGAGGTCGAACTGTGTGACATTGGCGAGTGATAGTGTCGAATCGTTCAACCAAGTCCAAAATGCCTGGCTCTTGCTCATCGGACCAACCACCCAGGATGTAAATATCATCATTGACTACAGTGGAAGACAAGTTGCTTTTCCGACGGTCCATCTGACCTACCAATTCCCACTTCCCTTCTACCATGTCATAGCGCTCGATGGTACGGAGACGACTGTTTCCATCGTTACCGCCAATGGCGTACAGGTACCCTCCTTGTTGAGCCAATGAGATACCACCACGAGGAGAGTGCATCCGGCTGACTAGCGTCCACTGATTTGTATCCGGCTCATAGTACTCAGCGGAGTCATGGTAGCGTCTTCCTTCGAAACCCCCAGCCACGTAGACACGCCCTCCGAGTTCAGCCGCAGCAGCATCGCTCCTGACCCGATTCATAGAGGCGATCGTTTGCCATAAATTTTCCTCTAGTTTATACCGCTCGGCACTATCCAAACGGCCCTGATTCTCTCCATTATGTCCTCCCAAAGCGTAGATGTGATTCGAGGCGTAAGCCACACTGACGTAATAACGCTTTTCGTACATACAACTAATCTCGTACCTGGAAAGCAGGGCAATTACATAAACAGGTTACAATATATAAGGATTTAGTGGGGAAAATCCAAAAATATTAGACGATATCTGAAATGGTGACAAGACAGCATCTGCGTAATTTTCCACATCAGAGTCCAATATATACATCTGCTCAGCGAAATCATGGAACATCCATATAGACATAAGAAAACTGGTGAGTAAACTTCAATTACCAACATGCGCCCTTATGATTCCATCCAGTCTATAGCGATACAAACTGCGTCAGCACTTTTGCCCTTTCATCAAGCTCTATCCATTGGCGCTACGTTGCACGGAATTCCGGTTCTTATAATTGACCAAAGGAAACCTGCGCACCAATTGGGATCAGAACTTCATTTTTCGCAGCAGTTGAGTGGGTGACGATAGATGATGAGCGTCGATCCCTCACGATCATTTTCTAAGGCAGTGCCAGTCTTCCCTAGTGGGCAGCATTGAGTAGGAAGAAGGCCCCGTGACACGCCCCATACGGATAAACAAAGCCGCTGAAATGCCCGCCATAGTTGAAGTGGTACAGAAGGTACAGAAGGTGGAGTACGAAATTGAAGCACCAGTTACTTCCGCGTTCCCCAAACGGAAATGGACAATACAGCCATCACTGTTTAAGCTGCTTGATACTGGCATTAAACCTAAAGCACGAGGGGTAAACACATCCGTACGAAAGGACATGTTTAAAGAGAGCTGTCTTGTCTTTCATAATGATGCTAAATTCGCTGCTGGCTTTAAAAAGTTGCGCAGTTTAGATGATCTTCAATGGTTAAAAAGTGTGTTACCAAACCGCTTTCAGGTTGCTCACGAGTCAATGTTCGATATATGACCAGATTGATGCACCTGCATGTCGGCGTTTCGAATTCCCTAATCAGCCAACTTTACGTGGTTTCCCTGCCCTCCAAAAGCGCAAGGCGTCACTACATACTGCTTTCAAGCTCAATAATAGTAACGTTTGTACGCGAGGATATTGAAAATAACGGTGGAGTCACCACAGATGGACGTGAACCTAATCAGTAGCTAGCAGTTCTCACGCAACATACTTCATTCGAAACTACGACTGGAAAGAGTAGTTAGAGAACGGCAGCCACTCGCTGTTCTCGCGGAAACGACACCAGCCGCGACGTAATATAACCAAGACGGCGATTCAGAAACCTGTGCGCTAAGACACGTAGCTGTCGAGAAGACAGCCGATGGACTAGATACTGCAGGTGCAAATGAGGCAGGTTGCATTCCCATCGAGATTTGGCAATGCACCAAAAAAACCATTAAGTGTCGGACTCTCATCGATTGGCACAAATCCACATCATTCATGTGCTCCTAGTCAACAGCTTTTGACTTCCGCAAAGCTTTCCTGTACATACATCAACGTTCAAGGCTTACTGAGTAAATTTTCCGAAATGCGGCTGCATCAAGCATCAAAAACCTGTGACTTCATCGCTATAACGGAGACTTAGTTACGCCCTGACATAAGTGACAGGGAGATCGCACCGCCATGCATGCCCATTGTTCGGGCACAACCGACCCAGCAAAAGTGGCGGGTTGGCTTTGTACTTCCGCAACGACCTTCATTGTGAGGTCGTAGAGGATCCGGTCAGCACGGTTTAAATCTCCCTTTGGTGCCGGCTACGTTTCAAAGGCGACAACAGTTGTTTAGTGGCGGTCATTTACCGCCCTATTTCCTCTACCCCCGAGATGGACTTCTAGCTGGCATCCGCAATAAGGAGGGTGATAAACACAACTTAAAGTTATATTCACAGTACTGGCGATTTCAACATCCATTCTCTGGAATCCCAAGCAGCTCCCGGAGAACAGTTTAAAGCCGATCTACAAGTGTTGGTCTCCACTTACCAGTTGTATTGCAACATCAACACTCCAACCCGATTCTGAGAAAAAGACAGGTCTTCGGTACTTGATCGGATATTCTCCAACCGAGAACTAATTGTCGAGAGGGCAATCCTCGACGTCTCTTTGGGCCGCAGTGATCATGTAGTCCTACTTTTCGAATACATACGCTATGCAGAAAATCCCGTGGAATTTGCCGACGCAACAAAAACGATTATATGCTACGACAAATAAGCTCGATTAGGTGAGACAGTCAACGTTTCTGGCAGACCAGACACCAGCTACTGCATGGGAACATTTCGTCATCCAGTTTGATTCTCTGGTTGCCGAAGCGTCAGCGGCTAAGCCCATCCGCCCAAGAAACAGGATCTTGTTTCTGTGAAGCAAGACAAACAAATGTATAGCGGTGCGAAACTCAGCCTGGCATATCTACAAACTCTCCCCGAGCACCGAGGATTGGATGGTTTATGCGACCCAATGTAATCACTGTACTCAGCTTGTTCACGAGGATAGAATGGTGTACTAGCCGATGTTGGCAATTCGTAGAGGCTCAAACCACAAACTTCTGTATCAACACGTCAACAGTCGACGTAAGGTGAAACGGGGACTTTCTCTTCAAACAGCGGACGGACCCACACGGACACCGAAGGAGGCTGCGAATACGCTGCGCATACAATACACCGTAACATTTCAGTGCGATAACTGGAGACTTAACCCTATGACGATGATTTTTCACCTCCAAAAACTCACTCACATATCCTTCACAGCAGAAGCTGTATTAAAAAAGCTGCTGAGTATGCGCAAGTAAATCTCTCTTGGAGTTGATAATATACACACGATATAGATGGTGGCAGTAGGAGAGGGTATAGCTGAGCCTCTGGCTCGATTCCTGCAACACCTTTTTGAGAAAATATACGTACCTGACACGTGAAAACACGGGATGATTATTCCTATTTACAAGGGAGGTAGCCGGTTCAATGCAGCCAACCACCGCCCCATAATCTTGCCATCGGTTATTTCAAAGGTCACGGAAGCTATTACTTCTTCAGCGCTAACGGTCTACTTGAAAGATTTTAACTACTTCTCACCTGGACAGTATGACTTCCGACGAAATCGATCGGGCACTACAAATCTACTACTAGCACAATCCAGCTGGACTGAAGCAGTAGATTCTGACACAGGTGTTGATGTAGCCTTGCTAGCCTTCCCAAAGGCGTTCAACCGGTTAGACCATAACATTCTGCAATCAAACTTCATATTTTTAGTATTGGTGATGCTCTTCTAGGATGGATCAGCAGCTTTCTTCTGCACCGGCGCCCGGAATTACGAGTGCGGAAATCCCTGTCAGATCCCATCCGAGTTGAATGGGGAGTACCACACGAATCGGTACTAGGATCGCGATTATTGTTGACTTACGTTAGCAAGATCACACGCCACATAAGCTTGAACTGTCTGCTTTATGCCGACGACATGAAGGTGTGAGGGCGATCAATACACCAGATTATATCACAGTACTTCAGGCTGATCTGGATAGGGTATATGCGTGGTCAATCCAGAATCTACTTCAACTCAATGTGGACAAATGGATAATGCTTCAGAGCGCTTCAGACATCTTCTGGAGGAAACGATCTGGGAGTTTTGGTCCAAATCGAGCTTGGATGTACGAGTCAGGCTGAGACGGCGTCTAGGCGGGACATCCAACACGTGGGCCTCCTGATGCGTGCATTCGGACCATTCGACCTTTCGATTTTTCCACAACTTCTCGGAGCATACCTACGGCCACTTGTTGGATACGCAATACAGGTCTGGAAGCCATGGCTAAGGAGAGCTCTCACCGCCCCTACGCCGGGCAAGCCATAATGTCGAGGGTCTTTATAATTTGCCGTATGAACGTAGGCTACAAGTGCTCGGAATCTTCAGTGGTCAGTATCGACGATTGCGCAGGGACCTCAATTTGACTGAGCAGATTTTGTGAGAACCCAACCACACGTGCCGATACTTGCTAAAGCTCAGTCACAACATCAATAGGAGAGGCAACCATCTCAAGCTGGTAGCGCAGCACAGTCACTTGGGATGCCGTCGGAATTTCTTTTCCGTACGTTTTTGCCGAACATGGAATACTCTACCGGAATATGTCCTCTGTGCTTCCACACTGGTAGTGTTCAAAGCCCGAGTTCTCCGTGCACTTATTTCGCTGCACCATCTTACATTACCCATTACCCATGGATAAACACAAGAGTCTGTAATAACTTTCACTAGCGGTCAAATTCCAGATTTAGTTCCAAGTTTTTCATCTTCTGCATGTGTACACCAGGAAGAGACACGATTTTTATCAACATCCCATTTGTCTTCATTTCATATGGATTTACCTCGACTTAAGCCTACGCCACGTATACTTCAGTGGGTTCACCGAAGTAAACTCAATTTTGCAAACAATTATTTTACATTTTGTAGTTTCACCATAACCATTCCACGGAACCTGTTAAGCATAGCTTTTTACCCGGATAAACCATTGTTCCACTGGCGGATAGATTAAAGCTGAAGGTTAGCATAGAGGACCTCAAAACTAGGCATACATCTGATGAGTAAAGCCATCAGCTTTTAGCTGTTTAAGTGGTCAGCCAGTAGTCAAGTTCCGCATCATCAGAATCAATTCTGACAGCATACTACCAAGGGTAGGTCACAAGGATTTCCTTCAGGTAGTATTTAGGAATTTACGTAGCTTAAAATACTGACTGCATTTATTTGCGTTCACTGAGACTTGATCGTCCCCAGACCACAATGATGGGAAGGTAGATTTACGCGGGTGGCTGACGTTTCAATGAAGATGGTCAAATCAGAAATATAGTTCGTTTTTACAGTCCTGTGATTACACTGATTTAATGGTGGTCACAGCATCCGACGGAACACGTCGGAATATTGGCGATCATCAGGGCCCGGATAGCGGTGAGCAGAAGTATGACACCCAAAGCACGTGGACCAACGACTCTACAAAATACAGCTGGCGGCCGCCACCTCAAAGGTTGCCACAACCTCCACTTTTATACAAAATGCACATACGCATTCTTGGTTACTGAGAAACTGGCCTGCGTGCAGGTCAATGCGCAGGGCCTTATTAGTAAGTTGGCTAAAATTCGA